CTAAGGATAATTTTATTTTTGTTTAAGGGAATATTTGCAATCTGATTTGTGCAGTAAATGTCTTTTACTTAAAAAATGTGGTTGAACTACCTCCTAGCATTAGCTAGGGAGAAACCATTGCTAACAGTCCTTTACTCAGATCTTACAAGTTATCACCTCACAGAACCTTCATAAATCTTGTGTTAGGAAGACAGGAAGAGGTTTCTCATTTTACAGATGAAAAAACTGAAGTTCAAGATCACACAGCTAATTAAGTGGTGGACCTTTACCAACTGATTCCAAACTTTAATATCTTTCACTGTAGCAATATGAAAACAGTTCAGCCTATCTCAGCTCTCATATGTATTCATGTGAATGATTTTTAAAATAACAAATATTGACCCCCAGGCATCCAGAAAGCTCCTCTCTGCCATTCAAGACCCTACTTCCCCAGTGACACTGTGGATGGGAGTCAGTATTTTGTTCATATGTATCAGAGAAGTCAGATTTGCAGGGCACCTCAGTTTTAACTCATTAATCTACCGTAGAGGAATCACATCACCGACTTCCAGCATTGGTTTCTTCGTGTCATACAAGAAGAACAGTGTGAATGGGTTAGGGTTATTGGGGGAATTATATGAGAAAAAATAAATAAAGCTTTCAGCAGTTCCTAACTCTTCAAAAAGCATGCATTCATGATTAGTTTACTTTTTTTTACAGGAAGCAGAGAATTAACACACCTACACAATTTAAGAAATGATTAATGGTCTCCCATGGACAAATTGGGCTCAGCTCTTTGTTTATTGAATCCTCACTTGAGGATATATTTATTGATTTGAGAGAGAGGACAGAGAAACATCAATGTGAGAGAGAAACATCAGTTGCTTCCCATAGGTGCTTTGATTGGGGATCAAACACGCAACCTAGGTATGTATCCTGACTGGGGGTTGAACCTGCAGCCTGTTGGTGTATTGGATAATGCTCCAAACACCAACTGAACCATGCAACCAGGGCACAGCTCTTCTCCTTTTCACTTGATTTCCTACACACCTGTTCCAGGATCTCCCCTGTAATTTCAAACAATTCAAGGATATTACGCTGTCCTGGAGTGGAGAATGTTCCTCTGGGCTCCTGGAGACTTTTCCTAAATGACTCATAGAATTTGCTGTCAGGCAGTCCTTGAACTTTGGATTTGGCAGCACAGTAGTTCTCCATTGTAGGAATTGTTTCTGATGAGTGACGCAGGGCTGCAGAGGTAAGCCCTTTGGCAATGCTGTTGGTGCCAGACTCTTCTCTTTGAGTCTGTCATGTGCTTCATGAAACTTAGAGATCTTGCCAGTGACTCCAGGTATGAGAACCAGTGTGGAATCAAATTCTTGGAGTGTGTCAACTGCATTGTGATCATTTGAGCCTCCTTTACAGTCCTGTGCACTAGGCCCATCATTTGCACAGCTATGGATATAGCACGTGCACCATGGATGGCATTGTAGCAGGCTGCTTTGAAAGTATCGAATTGGCTTTTAGCAGAGTGAATGCAGCTATGGCCATGAAAATCCCTGAGCAGTGCAACCAGACTGTTGATGGTTGCGTGAAGCAGACCAAGTTGATATTGTATGACAGTAGTAACAAGCAGTATGGGTAATTCTGGTTTTCCATATGTCATGGCGGCCACGGAGCTGGATGGTGCTTCAGACTCACTGGTGATGGCAAATGGCACCTCTGACAATACACCCCTTAGAGCTGGGCCGACTGCACAGGGGATTGGGGCACAGACTGTTGTAACAGCAAGAAGCCCTCTCTATCCAACAATCTTGGGGGATTTCCATTAAAAAAAACATAGCTATGCAATAAAAACTATTTTATTTGCTTAAAAATAATAAGAGGAAAATTTAAAACTTAATGAAAACTTTTGTGATTCAAATCATTTTTTTTCTCTTCCAACAGTGATTCTCTGCCCCTTTCTCCATTTTACTCCTCCAAAGTCTGCTTGGTGCTGCTTCCTCAAGGACACACACATGCATGCACACCTTCAAGCAACACTTGGCAACTGACCGTCTTTTTTTTTTTTTTTAAGATTTTATCTGTTTATATTTAGAGAGAGGGTTAGGGAAGGGAAGGAGAGAGGGAAATATCAATGTGTGGTTCTCACGCACCCCCTGCTGGGGACCCCGGCAAGTGCTGTGACAGGGAATCAAACCCCTGTGACTGGTTCATAGCCCGTGCTCAACCCACTGAGCTACACCAGCCAGGGCCATCTGACAGTTCTCGACAAGTCCCTCAAGACCATCTGGCCTTCCAAACCAGGATCTCAGCCCAACCCGATCCCTGGGGCCCCAGTCTCACATAAGTTTCACCCAAAGAACCAGACAAAAGGTAACAGCTCTTATTAGTAATGTGTTCCACAGTTCCTAAAGTGCAAGGGCAACTTTTGAGTGTGTAAGGAAGAGCAAGTGAGCCTCTAGTTAATTCCTCCTGCAGATACTTCCTGCACACTGCCAGGCACTGCGATAGCCAGGCACCAGGGATATAGGAGGCAACTGGGTAGATCTGCCTTCCCTCAGCAGTCCAAGGTAATTGAGTGATGCTTACAAAGTTGTCGGATCACTTTCACTATGCTGAAAGGGCCAGCTTTTCAGCTTTGTGAGAATGGGACAGCATCATCTTTTCTGAGATTTAATAGAAGGCAGAGAAAGATTTTTGGTCAAGAAGTCAAGAGAAGACGTGTCTCTTCTTGCTCTAGGTCTAAGTGAGCATTTATAAATTGTGTCCTTGCACTGGGAACATTTCAATGCAGCAATAAAAGCCTTCAGAACTCTGGGTAACTCCATCTGAATACCTACTGAGCAGGATTTAATAAGGACTTTTAATACTAACTTCAGACTTTTAGGCACATTCCTCACCCCCTACCCCCACCCCGCCCGCACCTCATCCTCTGCGAGGGGATCAAAAGCGTACAGGTGTGGCAAGATAGGGAGGTGACGGGATTCAGAGGCTGAGTACTGGACCTGGCGTTCCAAGGAAGTGGTAGTGCAGACTTCAGCCAAGATACCCCCAGCAGGGGACCTCGAGCTCCCCTCCCCATCTACGAGGTCCTGGGGTGCTGGGTCACAAAGGTGGTTGCCAGGCGCCGAGTGGAGAAAAGATGCAGCCCGGAACCGCAGCCGCCACTCTGGAGCGTACTGCCCGTGGAGTTCAGCTGGTGAGCCCCCAGCCCGGATGGTGGGACCGGGCCTGGGCTCCCCCCGCCACCTTCGCCTCCTCAGCCAGAGTCGCGTGGCCCTGCCCCCGGGCAGGGACCCCCGGGGGACAAGCCGGGGCACAAGCTGCTTCTTCCCACTGAGAGGGGCAGCTCCAGCCCCTCGGGATCGGAATTGGGATCGCAGTTCACAAGGACCTCAGCAGCATTTCGCCCGCTGCCTTCCCTTTTCCCAGGTGCGGCCACTAGGGGACCCTGTTCCTTGTAACAGGGGGGAATGGTATGAAGGGGAAACCTTTTTGGCCAGAACAAAGTGTTGTCTATCTGAGGGTAATCAGACCTGCTTGAACAGACTCCTGGGTTCTGTTCCTCTCAGGTAGCAGGGAGGTGACCATCTTTATGTAAACCTTACCTGAAAGTGATGAAAAGACCTGGGGTCAGAAGCCCTTCTCATCCCATGTTGGTTCAGCTGAATACTTGGGCTGGACATTGGACCAAGCCTTTTTTTTCCCTCCCTTTTTTAAAACCTCTGGCCCTTTGTGCTCCTAGGTGTCAGGAGAAGGATGTTGGGTTGAGATACTTTTTTTGGTCATGTGTTCAGAGGCGTTAACACCCTCCACCCCACCTTGCCATGGTAGTGTACGGAGTGGCCCTGGTCTTGGAAATATGCTCTTAGTTTAGGGTCATGATTTCATGCATCTGAAGCCTCTGGTAGGCTGTTTGGAATAGGTATGTATCCCTTGGAGTCAGTTTTTAAACCCGAGGCAGCCCAGACATTTGAACACAGTAGGCAAAAGGGCTTGCATAGGTCAGAACACACCATTTGGAGGAAATCAACAAATCTCCTTTATGCTAACCATTGTTGGGGCAAGTCTTCTGGTTTGAAATGTCACCAGTTCTTTTTGAAAAATGGACTATACTGTCTAACAAACTACAGTGATGTCAACATGACACAACAGATTGCTGGGTGGAATCAAATCTGCTGTTCCCTTCTGTGGAAAAAGAGAAGGGACAGAGAAATACACTTGACCAGACAAAAAATGGTTCTGCAATGTCATTTAACATACTAGTGCATGCTCAAAAAATGTTAGCTTTTCTTGAATTAAAAAAAAACAAACACTTTTTATACTGACAATTTAACAATTTGTCAATTTAAAATAAAATTGACAACTGAAAATTGACAATTTAAAATAAAAAAGATTTTATTTATTTACTTTTAGAGAGGGGGTAAGGAGAGGGAAAGAAAGGGAAACACTAATGTGCAAGAGATGCACTGATCAGTTGCCTCCCATGCATGTGCCCTGACTGGAAATTGAACCAGTGACCTTTACGGTTTGCCAGCACTCAATCCACTGATCCCCACCAGCCAGGGTTTGAGGTAGATTGATGGAAAATCCAAACTACTTGGATACACTGTGAGTTATCAACATCCTCCCAGCCCCCTATCTTCAAAGGGAAAAGAAAAACAAAGTTCTTACCCAGTAGGTCTCCCATGGATAAGAAAATAAGACATACCTAGAACAAGAAAAATCTTTAGAAATTTTAAATAACTGGCCTTTGGTAACTCCCAGCCTGGTGTAATTTCTCTGAGATGGTACACCAGTAGCTCAGGGTTCTGAGAAAATGGCTCCCTTTTTAGGGACAAGAGGAAACTGTTTTCATAATTAAGACTAGTGAAAGCTGAAGTTCCTTAAAAGGAACAGTATAAGAAGTTCTGAAACTGTAAGTGTATCCGAATCCCTAGAGGTTTTGTTTAAGCACAGATTACTGGGCCCTACCTCCTGAGTTTCTGATTCTACAGGTCTGGTATGAGGCCCAAGAATTTGCATTTCTACTACGTTCCCAGATGATGCTGGCGGTGTTACTCCTGGGATCATACTCTGAGAACCACTGGTGTAAAGTACATGGGATTAAGAGTCCCAGACATCTGGTAAGATGTGGCCTTTCTGAGCTTCTAACCACAATTAATAGCTCACCATGAAGCAACCTCAGAGATGTAGATTGTCTTCAGCAGTTAACACAGCACAGGTCCTAATGGTGAACTGGGATACTCCATTTACGACAAATCTATAGGGGTGAGCAAAAGGTTTACAGTTGTGAGTATGTAAAATACAGTTTATTCTTGTATCATTTAACCATTATTGTATTATTATTAACCTACTTTTGCTCACCCCTGTGTTTCCTCATCTATAAAATGGGTTAAAACCTAGAGAGGCCTGCGGTAATATTTAATAAAGTTTTAGTACACATAGCTCTTGACAGATTCAATACTTGTTAGCATCCCTTACTACTCTTTAGAGATACTAGTATTCTAACTAATCTATACCAAGTTCTGTTCACAGGAACTAGAATGGGTTAAAGTCAATATGAGATAGAGATGTAAATTTGAATGGCCATGTCCTCACCAAAACCATGCTAGGGAAATTCCATGTTCTGATTCCTTTTCTTTAGAACTACCAATGGCAGGATATCAGCTCTGGTCACCATGGACTCCACTGGACGAGAGCTTCCAATGGCTGCGGCACACAACACCTACACCTTCTTCCAAGCACCCCTTTAGGGCCTCCCCCTGCTTCCCACACACCCCTTCTGACATTGAAGTGCAGCTGTGCTTTCAAGAGGTCACTCTAGTACTAGACAGCCCATTTCTGGAAACTGGGGTGAGTCCCAAGTTACCCTGCCATACATCAGAGCTCCGAACCATGAACAACAAGAAAGGGCTCGTCAGGAAGCCCCAGCCTGTCCGCCTCAGTGGAGTGGATTCGGTCTTTGGCAGGGTCATCACAGCTCAGCCTCCAAAGTGGACTGGGACCTTCAGAGTTTCAGACAAGTCAGCCTTTTGCAAAATCATCAGCCGGGAGCACCAGTGGCCCACTGGACTTAAGGAACCTCAGATTCAGATGACAGTGACCATGTGCAAACAGATGCTGCGCTCTATCCTCTTGCTGTATGCAACGTACAAGAAGTGTACCTTTGCCTTGCAACACTCCAAGTAAAGGGTCCCCATCTGATTCCTGTTCCTCACACCATGTCCTTTGCTATGTGCATGAAGCTTGCAGACCCCTGTCCATGAAGAGGAAACTGACATTGCCCCAGCCATCTTGCTTTTCTACCAAGTACTGATAATTCAGGAGCCCCTTTCCTCCCTTCCCCTAAAAAAAGGGCCAGTGACAGGGCAAGGGAGAACAATGTCCATTATAATGTTGAACAACCATTTAAGAGAGAATCAAATTAGCATTGACATGTACATGTGATAAAGAACCATTAAACAAACCATACAAACAAGCCTAGTGTGAACTCACTTAAAACACTTGAAACCACAATGAACTGGAGACACAAAGGGGTATCAAGGAAGGAGATATTGATTTCTATATACCTGATAATGAAGGGGTCAAAAATCTATATGTGGGTCAAGGATTTTTTTCCATTGCTTTTTAAAAAAAGATTTTATTTATTTATTTTTAGAAAGGGGAAAGGAGGGAGAAAGAGGAGAGAAACATCAATGTGTGGTTGCCTCTTGTGCACCCCCTACTGGGGACCTGGACTGAAACCCAGGTATGTGCTCTGACTGGGAACTGAACCTGTGACCCTTTGGTTCTCAGGCCGGCACTCAGTCCACTGAACCACACCAGCCAGGGCTCTTCCATTGCTTTTTAGAGAGGAAAGGAGAGAGAGAAACAGACACAAGAGAGAAGCACTCCCATAGGTGCCTGGACAAGGGATCTTCCGTGCCCACACCAGGGGCTGAACCCATAACCCAGGCATGTGCCCTGACCAGGATTTGAATCCCTGACCTTTGAGTTACTGGACAATGTTCCAACTAACTGAGCCACGCCGGCTAGGGCAAGGATTAATTTTAAAAACAAAAACAACCCTCCCCCCAACCAAAACAACAAAAACTAACCAGCCAAAATCCTAATACCTCTGGCGATTATAAAAATGAATAGCAATATTAACAAACATTAAACAATATTTATAGCTCGACAATAACTTGGTAGCGGCACTGAAACTAGGCTTTCTGGCAGAAGACAAGACTTCCCATTGTAGCTTAAATATATTGCTAATGTTCTATTTCTAATAAACTAAGTAATTTTGTACATAGTTATAACTAGATTATAGGTATAACTCAGAATAATATGGAAATCAAATAAACATACATATACAAAATCAACATGAGTTTGATGGTACCTTTCCCCTTTTGTCTTTTATCTACAAGACTATCGAAACAATTTTTAAAGCACCCCAAATATTCCTTTTTACTTTCTTTGGGCATTGACTAGAAAGGTCATCACTCCTCCAAAAAGAACACAGAGATCTTCTCATTTCAAAGAAAGACAGTCCCTAGAATAGGAAACATACAATTTCAGTTGGTACAAATGAGGTTGGCAGTAGTCTTTATTATTTCTCTGCTGAAAACCCAATTTAATTTCATCTAATCCTTGACTAATGAAGGAAATCCAGAAAGAGGGGGAAAAAGCAGCTGAAACAGAACTTAGAACGTTTTATTTGTAAAACTGGAATAAACCTAATTTCTACAATAAATTCAAAACTAACTCCCAAAGCCCAGAATCATGACTGCTCTGCAGCAGAGCACTGTCATGTTTGCCCAAACTGGTAAGTAATGCTACACTGGAATTCTGAGCCAGGGTCTTTGATGTTAGACGATCTATGAAATTCACAATTAAGTTAGGATTCAATAAAGCCCCCACTTTAAGAACAAAACAGGATGCTGCTGGTGAGAAAGGTAGACAGCAGATTTCAAACCCAGAGGCTGGCAGAGATAAGCAGGGGCCATCAGTCTCTGTGCTCTAATCAGCGTCGTCATCACTCTCATCACTATCTTGCTCCTTTTCTCCATCACTTGCTTCATCTTCTTCACCAAGCTGGGGGTGGTGGTGGCAAAAGATAATGAAATAGTTTAGGTCTCGTGGTGACCCTGTGAATTACAAAACTGCTCCCACGGGGTTTAAAACAGGGTTTACAATGATACAATGTACTGTATCATTGTAACAACAAATAATAGGTTCTAAACCATTAATTTGAAAAACGATTCGGAGACCCCCCCCTCATTTTTATAGCACGACATCTAAGCCAAGACCATGGAGGGAGGCCATTTGATAATGATTTATGCAACAACGAAATCTGCATAATTTTAAAATAAGCCATGGCCCTCATGCTGTACTGTCTGTACATGACATAGGAACACAGTGGGCATTTAATCTAGAATGAAATGTTTGTTAAATATTCCCATGTATCTCAACAGGAATCCAGCACCAAATTCTCTTTGGTCTGCAACTCTAATCTGGGAGGGTGATTAGGAAAAAGTAACAAACTAATAGGATATTGTCTGCATCTTTTTTTTTTTAATGAGAAAAAGGTAGAGGTATACTATACAAACAGAAGACCATGCAATAAAATAATTTTTCTTACTAGATGATCTTTCTGCAGTAGTCTCAAAGCGCACCATGGAGAGGCTCCCCAGCAGGGGTTCTTAAATCTGAGCTTCTTAGTGTCCATAACTCAGCTGAATTGTATCAAAATTTTATAAACATATACATTTTCTTTACCTTTCTTTAAAGTTTCAAAAGTATCTGTAGTAGCCCAGAAAAGAATAAGGACCTGTCCTCTTAATTTCGTCCTCGTAGTTGCAGCTCTTGATTCTACACTTTCACAAATGCATTCACATTTCTATTTTATATAGTAAAACAATGTTTACATAGTTTAACTCACTCTTCTCAACACCCGGAATATTCTTACCTCTTCTTTTCTCCCCTCCAAAATGATTTTAGATATGAATTTAGGGAAAATAGGTTACAATGGAAGGGAATTTTCAACTCTATAACACGTGCCACAACTTGAGATACTTGAGAGTGAATTTAAGATGCTGTGGGGTTTTTCCTGGCCCCCAAAGAACTCATATATACACAGAAGCTTTTTTGGAGGGAATGGAGATAGGCATAGAAGTCTTTGATTATAAACAGAAGCAGGGAAACTTTGGCACTCTTTATCAACTCTGAATAACTAAGAAAATGCGACATCAATGCCCCACTCTGGTGCCTTATATAGATACCTCTGTTGCTTTGTTCTTGGAGACCTGAGATGATGTGTCATCTTCACTCTCATCCACTGTGCTTGCCTGAGAATTCTGGGATATAATCTCTTCACCCTAAATGTGGATGGGCCAAGACAAATGGTGGGGTTAAAGTGATCACATGTGGTGTCTCCAGGGAAGAAGAGCTTAGTTTACAGGCAATACAAAGGAAGCAAACATGGCTGGACATGGGCACCGAACTGTGACCTAGCATCCATATAAGTGAGAATCTACCCAAGGTTTCTAGGGTGCATGTGGCTCTGATACAATATGTAGTTTTTACAAAAAGTCTACCTTTGTATTCTAATATCATACAGATTTTACAAGGTCAGACTCTTTCAGTTAATGTTGAATATAGTTCTAAAATTTCCCAAATACCTTAAGGTACATGAGCACCAACATACCAACTACAAATGGCCATGCAGAGGCTGAAGGACAGTACACTGAGTGGTACAGGACTGTCTGGACTCAAACCCTGGCTCTGCTCACTCAGTGATGAGGAACTTTAGGTAAGATACTTGGCCTCTCTGAACTTCAATTTTCTCATGGAAAAACTAGTGTCTACCTTATAAAGTTGATGTGAAGAAAGGAAGTTAATCCTCTGGGATGCTATTTTTTCATATGTAAGATTATAAAACTGAGATATTATAAGCGTGAATAAGAAGTAGCGCTTGGACCTGACTTGAAACATGCTATATTCCAGACCTGACTGGTGTGGCTCAGTGGAATGGGCGCTGTCCCACAAACCGGAAGGTCTCCAGTTCAATTCCTAGTCAGGGCATATGCCTGGGTTGCATGCCAGGTGCCTGGTTGGGGGTATGCAAGAGGCAACTAATCAATGTGATCTGTGTTTCTCTTGCACATCAATGTTTCCCTCCCTCTCTTTCTCCTGCCCTTCCCCTATTTCTAAAAATAATAAAATCTTTTAAAAAATGTTATAACTCCAAAGCAGTACTATAAGCAACATAAGATTTTAGTTAATCAGACAACTGAAAGAACTTACAAATGTTCAGTTGTTAAAATTAGCCAGAGAATAACTTTAGGAATAAGACAGACTAGTTTAGGAAAAACCTCAATCTATTTTAAAGACTTTATTTATTTTTAGAGAGAGGGGAGGGGAGGGAGAAAGAGGGAAAGAAACATCAATGTGCAAAAGAAACACAGATCACATTGATTGGTTGCCTCTCACACTCCCTCAACTGGGGACCTGGCCGGCAAGCCAGGCACCAGCCAAAACTGGGAATCGAACTAGGGACCTTTTGGTTTGCAGCCCAGCATTCAATCTACTGAGCCACACCAGCCAGGGCAAAACCCCAAAAAGAATTTTTTAAAACTTTGTCCATATACAAAAATGTTATTATGAATCTATTCTTAGAAGGACTTAAAGGTATCTCTCTGGCTGAGGAGAGAGATTTTATGGATCTGGGTCCTTTATATGATGAGGCTTTCTCTGTATCTGTAGCACATTTTTAGTGCCTTTGTTGGCTGGTTTGTGGGGTGTACCTGTGACTAGGGTCCATAGGCAATGTACCCTAATTTAAAGAACTAAATACCCCAGACTTATGAGAAAAGCAGTCTTATTGAAAGGGCAGGGCTCAGGTGACTTTCCTTACATACTTCCAATGCTCTCACAAAGAAAAGGAGTGGGCGATTATCCCTAACAGGGCCCCAAGCTTACCTGTAAGTCCCGGTTTTTGAGATTGCCCAGCCAGAAAGCCTCCCTGCAGTTGTTGAAGATAAGCATGGCTTTCACTCTGCAAACTAAGAGCTCCAAGGTCTTTTTGAGCAAAGGCACATGTTTGGTGAGCTTCATGTCCTGGTGAATCTGAATGGAAACAAACGCACCTAACTCATCTGGGTTTCTTATCAAACTTCCACATTTCCTATAGAGAAACTGCTGCATTCCTGACATCCCGAACACTGTGTAAGAGCACATGCCCTGCCAGTATAAGCTAAAGATAAGTTCCATCAAACAGCAGTTGTATGGCAGAGTACTCTGAAGGGAATGGCAACTGTCCTTCAAGCTATACCATCAACACCTCTAGGATGCTCTTCAAAACCACCAATTGACCAAAATTATTAATGAATTTACACAAAATGTTCTTGAACATGTATTACAAAGTTAAAAAACAGAGAGTAGTCCTGTTTAGCTAAGAGAGTCTTTAAAATTCCACTGTTCAGTGCCTTCTAAAGTTAAAACCAGGAAAGGAAGTGAGTAATAGGGGCTGGATCCAAAAATCAGTTGGTTTGCCAGTGAATGCAAAACTCTATGCTTCTGTGCTCCTTCAAGCAAAAAGTGACAATGGTTTTA